CTGCTGTTGTTTCCAGTCGAGAGATTGGACGTTTTGGGATTTTTTGCTTCGGTGTAGCTGGGGAAGGGAGATGACGAGTTCCGGCGGTTCGTGTGCTTGCATGCTGCATAGACATATCTAGCGGGAGCTTTTGATGAATCCTGGCCCGGCGGTGCTGGACCATCCACGAACAGTATCCTTCGCATTCCGACATCGTGTAGAGTGTAGAATCGAGTTCGCAGCAGCAGCAGCAGCATTGGCAGCAGCCTACGCAGAGTTTTCGTATTGTGGGTAGCAGCATTCGTAGCAGTAGTGACGGTGGTCGTAGTAGTAGTTTACTACTACTACTACTACTACGACGACGCTTTTCTACGGTGACGACAACTACTACTACGACGGCTACGACTACGAAACCGACGACGACTACTACTACAACTGCTAGTGCTACTGCTACAGCCACAGCCACTTCAACGAGTTGCTTTCCGAACATGTTGACCTGAATTGATATCCGCTCCACGGCCCATGTAAGTGGCAGGGGCGATGCTTGGTTGGAAGCGAAGAACTTCCCGAGGCCCAGACCGCAAAAGAGTGGGACGATCTTAGGGACCGCAGGCAGTGATGGTTACTGCTCTGCCGTCCTGCCGATTGTGACTCGTTTTTCGATATAGTGGTTAATCATGTCGAATCTGATGCTGGGATAATTAGGACAATTGATTGCAGATGGACTTGGAAACCACATGCAGTCACATACAACGGAAACTAGGAAATCAATGCTTCAGTTAAAACTTAAAGCATAAACCGTTCAACAATGCTTCCCTTGCGTCTCACAATTTCAGTAGTCCTCCTTCTTGGTTTTTCTAAGTGGTCCGAATGGTTTCATTTGTCGTTCGTTTAGTTGTATTCATATTTTCATCAACTAAAACGAGGCATGTATTGGGTTACTGGACTTCACGCTGTGCCAGGCAGCTGTGGGATCTTACTGCAGAGGAGCATCAGGTGCTCCGAGATGCTGGCCGCGTCCAGAAGCAGGCGCAACTTGGCTGTCCTTGGACTCCGGTGGGTCGAGGTCAGTTCAGGCAGATGCATCGTCCCTGGGTCATGCATTTCGACGCCCGTCTTCAGTCATGGCTGCTGAGTGTCGGATACCAAGGCAGCTGGGCAATCGAGGACCGCTTTTTGTTGCAGAGCTGGGCATCAGCGCCGCCCTCACAGCCTGATGGCTCGTGGACTCCTTTGCCAGAGAGAGCTTCAGCTTCCGGTCGCCTGGGAGGATGGGGTCTGGTGCGGATCAATGTCCGAGCTCCAGATCACGTGGTGTTACGTTGCTTAAGCAACTTCCGGCCAGGGACTTAGCAGAGAAGATCTGGCACCCTCCAGCCTCCGATATCAAAATCAGCAAACCCCGAAACTCGTTCCTTGCTGATCCAGCAGCTGTCGAGTTGCAAACCCGAGGCAGTACCCTGACATGATGTCCGCCATCCGTGCGGCAGAAGTGAATTCCACGTCGCCAGCAGCAGATGCTGCAATGGTCGCCAAGTGCACCTACAGAATAACGCGCCTCTGCTGATAAGCTGCCTGTCGCTTCGAGGCTTTGGGAAGTTGCGAGTTGCGATTGATCTTTCTCTGCATGTCAGCATGTGTGTGTCTAAGTAATTACTGTATGCTATTCGTAAGCCCAGGAGATTCTGGTTCGAGATTCCTGCGGTCCGGGTGCCCAGAAGTTGACAACGTTGATGAGAAAATGCGAGTCAGTCCTGTGTTTCTGATGACTCAAAGTCGGGGATCCTTTTGCAAAAGCAGGCATCAGAGACTCTCAGAGACATCGGTGTGTTGGCTTCGCTGTCGCGGATCTTGTTCAGGTGCACCACGTGGACCAGCGGCGCGGTCGCGTAAGCTTCGACATAGATCCAGACGCGACAGGCCTTGTGCTTCGAGAGGCTGGCCCCACACGTTATCCCTTGGCGTTCCTATTGGAACTATACTATAGTATGCCTCTACTACTGGTAGTTCCTAGCGAAACAATTTCCTACGCATCACGAACATCATCAGCATAGCGTCAGAAGAAAAGCCCTGCGACTCGATTTGCAGGCCTCCGGTTTCTGGCAAGTCGTGCCATGCCGGCAGAACCCGGGAGAGTGCCGCGTGGTTTTCCGTGTTTTGGGCTCAGCTCTTGCTTGAAGGTGTCTCGGAATTTGCGGGGCAATGCATGTGCTTTCAAGCACCTGTTTTGCTCCATCCATTCGATTTCGCCATTCGCATTGTGACATTTGGAGTCGCGAGTCGCCCAGGTCTACGCGCATGCTTCCAAGTTGATGCCAGAGTGGCTTGTAGAGTATGGAGCCCGGAGGCTTGGTTGCAAATGCCACGCCATGAATTTTCGGAGTAGCTCAGGTTGGTTGTGGATTTGGTCGTTTCTTGCATCAGAGCTGAGGCCTGTGAAACTGCAGGAAAAGTCTTTTCAGATCGTCTGCATGTATGCAACTCGCGATTCCAGATTCGTTGCGCCCCAAAAGCGTCCACCTGTCATGTCGTGTTCTTGTGAGCGAAGGAAGTGTCTCAAACGTGCCACAAGCTGGCTGAAGCCGTTTGCGGAAAAGCGGCCTGGCTACACGTTGGCCGAAACGACAGGGCGCTGCCTTGCCGGTCTGTTTGTTGCTCAGGGTGCCCGTGTGAAGCAGCATCTCTCCCAGCGTATGATTGTCATTCTGATGCAACGCAGGAAGGCGGTTTTTGCAAAGGTCATGAAGTGGATGTTTTTAATGCGTTTTCTCCTCGGCTGCACAGCCCAGGCTTTGGCAGGAGTCAAGACAGACGGTGCCCGCTGCGGCCTGATGTCCCGGCAAGAAAGCGCGTGCAGACCCCTGTACAGGCCAGTCGCGCTGTTTCATGAGAACAAAGGGCAAGGTCGGCAACGCTTTTGTGACTTTGGGCCACGAGCCCATCGAGCAGCCTGCGCAAGACAAGAGGGACGCAGGCAATCGGAAGCAGGTCAAGTCAACATGTCTGGATTCCGTTCAGATGACGAATGGAGTCATTGCAGAGCAAGGAGCTTGCTATCGAGTTGGGAGCAACTTCCCGAGAAGGCAGCTTCACTGCACTCTTTCTTTTCGATATGGAGCTGCGTCATTGAAGGGAGTCTCAGGCCTAGCTAAGGATGTGCTCCTAGACTTGTATGCACCTTCGGCTCAATGCTCCGTGTGCTGCCGAGTCCACATCACGTGCATGGCATGTATGTCTCACCTGCAATGGGGTCAGTACAAAATCCGGCAAGGCGACAAGGCAACAAAAACAGGCAACCCAAGACCACGATAACTGTTGGGCTCTTCCGATGGACGGCGGCACAAATGCCGGTTGCTCAGAAGAAGCTTGTTCTGTGGGTCGAGATGCATCCGTGTTGTTTCGTTTCGTGAGTGCACAGAAGGACATACAAACCGCACAGTTCGAGATGTTCGGGTGCCGACTGAACACTGTATTTAGATAAAGTTGTGCAGGTCAGATGGAGTCAGATGCCGCCTGTCACGGTTTAGCCGTCCGGACATAGTCGCATCGTCTGCTTGCTCAAGAGACATCGTGTCGTGATCATAGCAGCACAGTGGAAGCCTTGAGTGATGCTACATGTCTCTCCTACTACACAGGCATTCGCTGCACTTGGCAGCGAGGCACTGGCTGGGTCGCGACCAGCATCGGTGAGGACCTTGGGGCACGCTTGAGTTCGACAAGCTCCAGATGTTTAGTATAATAGAATATAATAATATAGTATGATATAATATAATATAACATAATATAATATAAAAATACTATATATAATATTATTAGAAGCTGTACCATCTCCAGGTGCTTTCCGACGCTGTGCCAGCGAGTCTGTCTGTGGGAGCTTGGGGAACAAAAATCGAATCTAAATCGGAGCCTTTCAGCTCAAGTGATTCAATCCTGTCTTAGTCAACGAAGATTCGGTCACGAAGCTTCGTGCCGGTTGGTGCTTCTTCTTCGGGGTTCACCTCATTTCGACCGTTTGGTCCTACAAGGTCGCGGACGTTCCCATTCACCTCGTCAAGAGCAGCAATGAGACGGTGAACGAGCAGGTGGATTGTGCTGGAGAACTTGCAGCACGATGTCGGGGAGTCGAAGCAGATCCCCGATCCGACAGATCTCTATGTCGAGGTCTTTGCACAGATCGTCAACAAGTTGATGGAGAAGGTTATGGAGGAGAACCCGGCTTCGTTGCAGACAGCTCTCCACTCGAAGTTCGGAGCTATTGGCTACCGCCCCATGCCGTCGATGTCGACACCTTGGGCCTCAACAGAACTAAGGCGGCCGAGCGCTGGAGCACTATAGTGCAGTCCAGGACCCGACTGGGGAGAAGGCCCACAGTCACAAGCTCTTCAGCTTTAAGGCACCTGCGCTGATCGACTTTCAGTTCGCCGGAGTCCTTGAGGGCAATAACTTGTACCTTGAGTCCTCGCTAGGATTCGGGCCGTACCAGAGCGGAGTGAGGAGGATCCCTTTGGCCAACATCGCCCACCAGTTCTCCCTGGTTCTCGCGGCCATGCACGGCTTCGTGTCGGCCGAGAGTCGCCTGAAGGCCATCAAAGCGCTGAACAACTTCCGAGAAAACGATGTCCGAGAAGTGGACCGCCTTGAGCTGCACTTGACGCCGGGTTCCCATATCGCCCTGTACAACTTTCATTCCAAAAAAGGGTATGTGTCTATGACCAGCCAGAAGTGGTGTGCCAGATGGAGCTTTAGGATGGCCTGCCGTTGGTCCTACAAGCGCTCTTTGTGGCCGTTGGCACCGGGACGAGATCGCGCTGCACAAGAAGTGCCCGCAGTCGCTTCCTCGGACTCTGGGACACCTCCGTTTGGGGTCAGCCCGCTGCAGCCAACCAGCTGGGAAGTGATTGGAACGCGGAGAGTTTCACTCTGGTCCAAGCAGGAACTAGCAAGATCGCTCTGCACAACAAGGCTGCCAACCGCTTTCTGAAGATGTCGGAGCAAACCAGAGCCCAGCCCAGCCCATGCCCCACCCCCTTCCGGATGGCTGGAGCATCGAGCGCTTTGACGTCCTGCACTTGCTTCCTTACTTGGTCCCATGCTCTGTCGTGGCATGTGGGGACTGGGGGGCATGGTCCTGACCTGTCCCAGGGGTCAACCTACGAGCAGTTCACCGTGGCAGATGCTGGCAACGGGCAGGTGGCACTCCACAGCGTAGCCCAACACCGCTTCATTATGATGGCCGACGAGGGCAATGTCAAAGGCGGCAGCAATCCTGATGCCAGCGACCTCAAACAGTCCCGCATCTCGGAGAAGTTCGCGTGGTTCGTGTGGATTCCGCGTATCTTTGTTTTCCACAACTTGGGAGCAGCCCCAGAGCCGCGCAGGCGCGAACGATGTGCCTTATGACGTCGACCCCTGAGGAGTCAGCCTGAGAGCGGTCCTTGGGATACCCGAAGTTTAATGATTTGGGGAAGCTGCACCGATCGGTGTAGCCATTTGTAGCCTAAAGTCTCAGGAGCAGTTAACGACATCTTCTGACACTTCGCCTTGACTTGCTTTAAGTTGTTGTCCACGTTGGTTGGACACGTACTGCAACAAGGACCCGAAATGCAGGCTTTTGCCAAAAAGCCACGGCTGCCCGTAGGTGCTACCTGCACTATTGGTCCCGCGCCGTGCGCCTTTCCGAAGCAGTGGAAGCACGGCCCTACGCTTGTGGTCTGTGCAGGACACTGTTCAATGAGACCTGCTTGTAAGAGAAGCTCATCTGGTCGTGGGCCCGAGCTCTTTCTCGAGGCCGGCAGTGAGGAGCTAGCTTTGAGCCGAAGCCCAGCTTGACCAGAAGAACAGGATGCGAAGCATACTATACTAGAATATGTTGAGATTTGCCGGGTAGAGGGCAAGGCTCGTCTGGTCTCGTATTCGACCACGACCGTGCGGCTGACAGACCTCTGAGAAAGAGCGAGAGAGAGAGTCTTGCCCCTAGCCCTAGCCCTGGCGAAAGAAAGAAAGAGAGGCAGTGCATTTTTATCACGTCCCCTCAAAGCCCCATAACACATGGGGTCCAACAGGCCGGGGGACCTCGACAGTCCACTAAGCCCAGAGGAGAAAAACGAGAGTGAGTTGTTAACATGTGTTGCTTCCAGACAAACCGTTCGGGGGCACCAGGTTGCCTGGAGAATCTGCCCCCACGGGGGCACTCCACTCCTTTCACGACGTTCGGTCCTCGTGACCACGTGGACGGGGATGCGCCTTGAGCGCGAGCCAGGAGCACTGCTCCTGGCTCTGACCCCAAGCAAAGCAAA